AACAAGAAATATCGAGATATATATCTTATATCGCCATCCAGCTAAAAAATATCGAGATATGAATTTTGGGTCATATCGCCCAGCCGATAGGTAGATATCTTCAGCGTCCTCGATCGACAGTCCCGCCAGGCACACGGTCCTCCAGTTCTGCCACCCGTCCATCGTGTAACCGGCAGGGAAAGTCCCTCCAGGGCACTCAGGCTCTCCCGAGCCCCGACTTCTCGTTGAGAAAAGGGTGTCAATAGCACTCAGAGACCAGTTGATCAAATCCATAATTCTCTTTTAGGTTTTAGAGAACGACAGTGAGAGACTGTTCCAGGGAAAGTAAATGCACACAAGACAAGACAAGGACATAGAGGCTAAGCAGGGAAGATAAGGGTGAGGAGGAGAGGAGAAAAGTGCGACCGCCTTCGCTGAGAGCTCAAGAGAAATTTTGATGTATTTTGACTGTAACTTGATGGTTTTTGTATCTTAGGCCAAAAGTCTTAGGCCAAATTGTAAGTTGGCATTGTAATTAGTGCAGTTATTGGTGAGTTGCAGTTATTTGTTTGTGCAATCTGTGCATTTGTTTAATAGTTAATCCCATGTGCTGATTTATATATTGGACAGTTGCATGTGGAATAAAAGGAGCAAATGGTACAGAAGTGTATTTTATGTGTTTATTGTTGCGCGTCATCTGTGTCCTCATGTTTGGCCTGCTGCAGCCATAGGTTGGAGGAGCCGCAACACAACAACGACTAATAAACAGAATTTTTGCACGTCCATTGCACATTTGTGGGAATATTTAAATATTTACTTTTTAATAATTACTTTTCATTTTATCTTTATTTTTAAAATCACCATGGCAATGCGCATGCGCATACTCTCCTGCACGTAAAGGGCTTTGGAGTTGACGTAATGCCGCAATGCATTGTGGGAGCGCAGACCACGAATCAAAACAAACACACTGTGTTGGAAGGACGAGCAAATCTGAAAAGTAACTCAAAAGAAAAAGAACGGTATAGAGACAGAATGTGTCAAGATGCAAAGAGACGGTACTTGCAAGAAAATAGCGTGCATTGGAAATGTGGACCCGTATGAAATACAGCAGTGGAGTAGAAATCCTGAAGACCAAATCGCTATTGACTTAGCATGATCTATTCTCGTACCTTGTTTGTGGAGTCAGCGCATACACGGCGAACCTTTTTCGCAATTATAAATCTCTGGAGGCGCACATCCAATGAACTCAGGACCTTCTTGCTGTGCGGCAACAGTGCTAACCACCGTGCCACCCACATTCAGATTAGTGCAAGCATAAATTCATTAATGAAGGGGAAATTACAGTGAGAACATGTGGAGGCTCTGTTAGATGGATAAAATAGTGAGTTCAGAGCACTGATGTGACATTATCCTGAAGGATTTAGTCATTCCCTACGGTTAAAGAAATTGCACTCATTAATCCATATTTATTATAAATAATCCTAATTACACATCTTGCTTCCTTGTTTGTGTCCCATGTAACTAAAAATACATTCTATTTTAGTTTTATACATTGATCAATGACCTGCAGAATCTCCTTATCATATTAGGTATCCATAATTGTCACTTAAAGTCAAACTTTATGCTTTCTCCATCTTGAAAGTGATTACATCCTTGCATTACATACTTTAGGTTAATTTTTTTGCTGATAGGTTTCTAAAAAGAAACAGGCAGATTTAAAATATAACATGCAGCGTTCTATAGATGGATACATAAAAACACTTTATTTGTTACATTTATTATAAATGTATTTGAAAGTAGATTAAACACATCTGTGTCGGCCGTGGCTCATTAAAGTTCTTGTCTTTAAATGAACCTTGTCTTTGTGTGTTTCAGGTACTGAAATCTCAAAGACTGAATGAACCAGCATTGCAGCCATGGGTCATTGTGAGCATCACAGGGAAGGTTGCACCTGTATGACCTGCACCCATGTCGCTGCTCTTCTGTTTAAGTAGAAGCAACAGTGTTGATCCGTGTCACAGGGACTGTTACAGATGAACCTACATACTGGGTTTTGCTGGGTAATATGGCCAAGATACTGTCAGTGGTTGGCCATAAGATAGACCTCTACTCTTCAGTGGCCCAAAAAGGGCTCTGGATCAAAACAAAAACAGACCATCTGCAGTGACAGGTAAAAGAAGCAGTCCTCAAAAAAGAAAAATTCCATCTGCTACTGTGGAGGAGTTGTCTCAAGAGATGGGAAAATATTTTTCCAAGCATAGTTCTGTTCTGAATAACCCATAATGTTGCATTTAGGGGGCTATATAAATGATTTGCATTTACTGAATATGTACTTACTAAGTAACACTGTTCAAAAGTTGAATAAAGAAACAAATAAATGTTTACCTTTTTTTTTTAATTACAACCACGTTGTAAAACATCACATCAGTTACAATGTAGTATCCATGTCGTTTATAGTTTACAAATGACAAAATGTTCACATAAAATCATGACAGCATTTAAATAATATCACCCACTACTAGCATTCTGTAATTTACTGTCTCTTTTTAAATGTATCACTATACAGCACAAGACTTTTAAGAGTATTTAACAAGAGCATTTTCCCCTGGTTTTACTACCACACTGGGGCACATGTTCACCAAAACGCAGCAAACCTTTGCCATCTTATCCAGGAGGGTCACCTTTTCACCCTCACATGGAAGATGTAATCTGATTGGCATGGTGGTATGCAGCATGTAGTTTGAAGCAAAGGTTCCGGTAGTGCCCCATGTGTAGTGTTGGAAACCAGTTAGGATTTGTTTCATCCATTTCATAGGCTGGTTTGCTTGCAATAATGCCAAATAATTAGCAACTCTATAAATAGAAGGTAGTTCTGCAAAATCACTCATTATGATGTTTGTTCTAATTTGCTATGACCTCAGAGCACATTGAAAATAAAACTAATAGGCTATAAACAGTAATATGAACTTATTTAGAACTTACCAGAATGAAAATACTGTAGCACACCAACAGATATCTGGGGATGGTAGAGAACTGGATATCAGCTCGTCTCACAGCTGCTATGCAGGCTAGACGCCTTCTTTTGGTAACATCCGATACATAAGCTCCCTCATGATGCTTCCAGGTGAGGAAACAATGAAAAGAGAGCCCATTTTCAAGCTTATTTCCTTGCCGGTTGTGCAATCTAACATCACAACATCACAACCGACCACACAGCAAGCATTTGTTTGGCCTGCTAATATGGCGCCTCGACCAAAAATCCTGGCTACGCCCCATCCGGTAAGATCACGCTCCAGAGCCCTATTACAGATCTAGAAAGAAGACGCTGCATTTTTAACTCTGAGAGAGATGGAGAATGAGCCCATTTCCAAAAAAAGTGGAGTGTGTTCCTTTAATTACTATATTGTATATATTGTCAAAAATTAAAGTGAACATAGCAGTTGTTGTATCTTGTTTACTGTATTACTGAAAGATGATTTCAAAGTCAAGTTAACGCCACATTATAGTGAGATATTGTGTAATGTGAAATACTGTAAGCAAATGAACAAACAACCTAATTCTTGGTAAACCTTTGACTGTTTTGTTTGAATCCAACTGTTTTTTGCAGATGTACATAAGACATGTTGTTACTTTTATTATTATTATTATTATTATCATCATTATTGAACTAAATACATTTTAAATAAAGGATACCTTGATATACATTCTACCGTAAGGTTGGAAATGTATTTTCTTCACCCTAAAATATCTTTTGAAATGTATTTCAGTTTGAAAAAAATATATTTTCAATTTCAAAAATATATTTCTTTGAGCATCACAAATACAACATATTTACCATATATTTGAAATATATTTTGGCCAGGAAAAATGTATTTTTTTACCGTATTAAATTCCTTTACTCCAGCCACATTAGCTCCACTACACTGTACGCCGGGCCGGATGTGGCTCGCGGGCCTTGACTTTGACACGTGTTGTAAACTGTTTCTTTATAGTTGCGAGAAAGCATTTACGATGATGCAAAACAAAGGCAAGGTGAGTCTAACGTGTGAAGCAATGGTGTGACTATGCCGAAATTGTGTTGAGGTTAAGAAACAATCAGAGCGGTTTCCACAGTGACATTTCATAATGCTGTTTTGTGAAGAAAAAAAAAAATACACAAACTCTGCACAATTACAATTAAGGCCAATTATTACACCAGACTATCAATAACTTCGATCAGCACGTGTTTTGGGGAAATACCGGTACAAACAAGGAAGAAAAAACACCGAGGCTGTTCCCACATTGAGTGCTCGCTGATGGTAGTGTCCTTCAGAAAATTTTCAACAATACCATTTTCTCTCTGTTGACCTTCTTGAAGCTGTTTCAGTTGCTTAGTGATTGTTATGAAACACACAATAAATCCAGCTATAAAATAAAATATATTGAGAATGGACCGATATGTTTATTGTGTCAAGCTGTTTTGGGGCTCAGTGAGCTTTATTTTTAGCGAGCCTTGCCAACAGCCTGGGAAAACACCCATAAAAAAAAAAAAATCTGAATCCTTGCGCCTGACCTGCCTTGAAACAGCAGGTGAGCCACCAAACCCTTACTTATGTCACATGACATACGTGTTTGAACCCCACTCTGGAGCAGTGTTTCTAAACGAAACATCAATTCCATATCTATATAAAAACATATAAAGTCAAATGAATAACTGATTTATTTTGTGAATCTCCAACAGTTTGATGCATTTTTTCCACAAATGTTTCTATACTTAGTTAAAATCCACACAAACTGTGAAGAAATCTTACATTCAGATAGATAAATAGGTGCAACAGGTAAAGCTAAGACAATAGAAGGGTCACAAAAGGGCTGTTGGGTTAAGGACTGGGTTTAGCATGAGGTTCAGTCAGTCATGTACACAGGCACAGAACACAAAGAATGGTTACTTTTTTCCTCCAACAAGAATAAATCCATCTCTAATACATCATAATACATGTTCTGAGGTAATGCAGACAGCTACGTTTACAACCATAACATATCTGATTTTTTTTTTAAGCTCAATATGTTATTCACATGATCATGTGTATAACATCTGGATTGTCACTTCTTTTTTTTCTTCTAAACTTATCATCACCTTAGGTCTAATAATTACTGATCTTTTGGACTGATGGAATTACAAGTATACACATTTACTTCACAGCATGTAGTGTGCTCCTCTGTCATCACTACAGCATTAAAGCAAAGTAGCAAGGAAATGGGGGATAGAGGATCATGTGAATCTAATCACTGAATCTAAAAAATACTGAAGAAAATGTGCATCAAAGTGCTGTCTCAGAGGAAAGTAAGCATAGGAAAAGGTAAGAGGGGAAACATAAGAACAGAAATGATTATACTGATTGTGGAAAGGGAAAAACTACAGCAGAGACTGGATCCACACTAGAGCTACAGGGAAATATCATGCTGATTTTCTTGCTTTTCTTTCACTTGTTCAAACTGTCATCAGATTGCCTTGGCATGAACTGTCTCAATTCCAGCATACTGAACTGTTCAACAGAAAGATCCAGAATTTGTGTTCAGGTTTGTGGATGTGTATTTGTTTGAGAGAGAAAGCGAGAGTAAGGTGCAACTATCCAAACATGTTTTTCCAGCGGGCACCCAGAAATGGGAGAAGACACACTGAATCTAAACAGACTATACATACTGCATATCTATGTATGTTGTTGTCATGGTGTGCAGGGCAATAATGATTATGTTACTGTATACAGTCCATTACATGTATCTGCAGTGTGTCCATATCTGGAGCCAGGTACTGGCACTTAGGACAACATAAATCCGGCAGCTCCTCAGTTCCGACTGGACCTTGATCACCGACTGGTCCCAATCCCGGAGTACGGAATGAGGGAGCAGGGGGCACCGTGTTGAAAGGGGGGAACACACCTAAGGCCGAGAGAAAGAAAACCTTTAAAAGAGAAACCACGTTTTACATTTCCTCAGTACATGGTGGTGGTAAAAGGTAGATTTACTCAAGTACGTATACACTGATCTTGACTTGAAAAACTAGACTGTCTATTGTTATCAACAGGACGATTTTAATTCAGTATAGTTCTGTTGTTTCTCTGGTAATAATAATAATAATAATAATAATAATAATAATAATAATAATAATGGATTGCATTTATACAGCGCTTTGAGGGCCCTGAAAAGCGCTTTACAATTCCACTATTCATTCACTCTCACATTCACACACTGGTGGAGGCAAGCTACAGTTGTAGCTAGGGATGCACCGATACCACTTTTTTGGAAACGAGTACGAGTACTTGCATTTCAGTACTCGCCGATACCGAGTACTTAATAAAAACATGATTTAAATTTGCAGGTAACAGCTTTAGTCCTATAATTTAACAAAAAACAAACAAACAAACAAACAAGGGACTAGTTTGGAATTAAGAACATTTATTTAATGTTGTATGCAACATATTACAGAATAAATAATTATAAAAAAAACAAAATTTAATTTTAAATTTGCTCGTCTGTTTCTCTGTTTAGAAGTGTCACTAGCACAGTCACAGCTGGGATGACATCAGAGGCTAGTCCGTCGTAGCTGCTCACTTTTTTAGTTAGTTCCTCAAAGGGGGCGAGGATGGCAACAGTCTTCTCCATAAGAGCCCATTGGTGAGCGAGATAGTCAGGGAGTTCGTGCTTGGACACATACACGCCCAGCACTCGCTTTTGCTCAATCAGGGACTGGAGCATGTAATACGTGCTGTTCCAGTGCGTCTGTACGTCCTGCTTCAGTCTCTTTATTGGCTGGGTGAGCTGTCCCTGAATGTCCTCGAGGCGGGAGTAGGCTAAGGCGGAATGTTTAAAATGCCCAACTATTTTCCGTCCCACTGCTATAGCATCAGCTATGCTCCTCTGTGCTAATAAGCGTGGGTAAACTCTTTGTACTCGTTGTTGTGTTGGGATTTTAGGTGCTTGATTAAATTGCTTGTGTTAAATGCGCTACCTTTAGAGCCTCCTCTGGACAATTTCGCTGAGCACAATTTGCAGTCCGCCTTCGTTTTTGCGTCTTCGTTCACTTTGAAATAGTTCCACACAGCTGATATGTCTTGCCTCGCTTTCTCCCAGCTCTGAACTGCAGCCGGGGCCTGGGGGCGGGCACTCGGCGCCTGTGATTAACCCCTTACATGCCGCTCAAACATAGACAGGTCTCAGACCGTGGTATCGGTCCTCGGTATCGGGGGACTTTTAACGAATACGAGTACTTTAGAAAATGTGGTATCGAGGCCGATACCCGATACCGGTATCGGTGCATCCCTAGTTGTAGCCACAGCTGCCCTGGGGCAGACTGACAGAAGCGAGGCTACCATATCGCTTCTGCAGCGAGGCTGCCATATCGCGCCATCGGCTCCTCTGGCTATCCCCCGTAGGCGGTAGGGTAAAGTGTCTTGCCCAAGGACACAACGACTGTCCGAGCCGGGGCTCGAACCGGCAACCTTCCGATTACAAGACGAACTGCCAACTCGCCATGTGTAAGCAGCAGTGCACCAGTGTCCAGAAGGAAGGCTACCATAACATGAAGGAATTTAACAACAAGAGCTGAGCGGTATTTTGCACTTGCTGCTTCATCACCTTTTCTATACCTGTGAGTAAACCGCAAACAGCTGTCAAATTAGTACAATGCTTTCCATGTCATCTCTCTCCCTCTCTCATTATGTTCTGACTGATTAAATCAATACTTGTTGGGAAGAGGCTTTTGCACTGACAGTAATATAGCCAGTTGTAATCAGCTCCATTAATCAAGTTGACACATGCAAGCAGGTACTCAGCCAGTAGCAGTATGCAGTAAAGACTTTCACACGATTTTGAATTAAGGCTACATCCACACTAATGGATGGATCCATGAATCGTTTTCAAATGAAAATGCATTGTTTTCTCTCCGTTTTGGCCTCCCGTCCACACCGAGACAGCACTTTCCCCGAAAGAAAGCGCAGCGTTTTCAAAACGCTCTCGAAAACGCATACATTTGAAGATGGTGCTTTCGCGTTGCAGTGTGGACAGCGAAAACTGAGACTTTTAAAAGCAATGACACATGTTAGTCATATGATGCAGTCATGTGACCAATTAAAGATAGCGGAGGGCATTATATAGCAGTTGTTTTGTTTGCTCTCAATTTTGACAGCCCTATTAAAGATTAATATCAGTTTGTACATGCTTCAGATGGCTTTTCTTCAAATTCTTTAATTCTCACTCGCTTTTGCAACTTTGTACTTTTGTGTTACTCGGAGCACAACTCCACCTCATTGTTAGTCCATTTAAAAAAACTTGGTGCTTTTCCTCGACATTTTTCCACCAGTGTGGATGTAGCCTAAGAAAAGCAAAACAGTTAATAGCAAAAATAGTTAGTAAATTCTTACTGTTTTTAACTTGTATTATGTTTTTTACTTGTATTGCTATGTATTAGGGCTGCACAATTACTCGTTAGAAAATCGCGATCTCAGTTCATACTTATGTGCCATCTAATTTCGAAATGACAACGATTTAAAAGAAAAAAGAAAAAGAAAAAAAAAGATGAAGATTGTACGCATTTTGATCCGGGACATAAGCTGCATGAAAACACGCGCTCACTCTTCCTGCTCAACAAATGACAAGGGCGGAGGCTTATACCACGTGATACAGAAGTCAGCTGGCAGGGAAAAAACAACGGAGAGCATGTGAGAGATGACGAAGCTGTAAAGGCCAAGAAAGTGACTGGAGAAAATCTGTCCCGGTCAACCACCCAAACATCAATATCAGGAACCTTATACAGCGCCTCCCCATACCCGTCGAACTCCAGCAGGCACAAAGAAATTACGGAGGCTATCACTTATCACCTGACCAAAGATATGGCTCCCATCAACACTGTTCAAAACGAGGGATTTAGGAAAATGATCAACATCCTAAACAAACGCTACACAGTGCCGTCCCGCAACTATTTT